GAGAGAGAGAGAGAGAGAGAGAGAGAGAGAGAGAGAGAGAGAAAGAGAGAGTTTTTCATCGATAGGATGAGCAACGCACGCCAACAGGTAAGTCTCGAACCCCGCGGCTGCCCTCAGGCTACTTCCATCGATAGGATGAGCAAAATCAATTCAATCTTCCGCTAGAACATCGAAATATACATTCGTACGTGCGCACGTGTGTGTGTGTGTGTGTGTGTGTGTGTGTGTGTGTGTTTGTGTGTCTCTCTCTGTGTGTGTGTGTGTGTGTGTGTGTGTGTGTGTGTGTGTGTGTGTGTAAGGTGTTGCACGGAGTTGGTGATTTCTTGCAGTATGCTTCCAAATGATCAACGAGTCGATGAACATGGCATGTAGTAGTCCTCGGTGTTGTTGGATGTGCCTGTTGCTGCAAGGTAGAAAGTTGCCCGATGCCATCTGTAGTTTCTTTTGATATGGTTGTGAATGACTGATGAGCGCATGCACGTGGCATGTAGAGGCGCCGATAAGACTTGTGTGATGTTTGCCAGTCAGTGAGGTTCGCTTGGCCCTGTATTTGCTGCAGAAAATGAAAAAAATCTGAAAAAGTAACGAGGATGCAAGACACACAGTCATGCCCGATATCAACCTTCACTCGCATCCTCGTAAGTTACTACTGTTTGCTTTCCGCTGCTTTCTCCTATATTTTGTTCGTTCCAGCACAAAAATCGAGATTTCGTGGAAAACGAAACCTGTTAAGCATACCCCTCGTCACGTGTCAGGCACATCACAAATCTCATCACCACGCTCTACATCCCACGTGCATACACTTATCAATCATTGATAAAACTTCATAAAAGCCTTTTGGAAGTACCCATTGGGCCGTTGCGTTGACTGTAACGGCAGGTTTTTCCGCTACGGATGACAGCGCGCAAGTTGTACCTTGCCTTGCGGCAACAGGCACATCCATCACCATGCGGACGGCCACAGACCACACCCCCATTCAATCAGTGACCCGCACATCCACAAGGCCGACGACCAGACGCCGCCACAGCAGCCGATCGACTCAGTGTGTAACAAATATACGTCGATTTGGCAGCCTTGCACGTGACCCTCCTAAAACCCTGAAAACAGTTGTTCGAACGCTTCCGGGGGTTTGGATTTGAGGCAAGGGGGTGGGGAGGGGGGTGGGTGGTAGGTGAGGGAGGGAGGGGGATCCGGGACACAGCTTTGCAGATGATTTTCAGGACGACTTTGCAGACACCTTTCAGGCCAACTTCGCTGAGAAAATCTTTTTTTTTTTTTAGTTTTTTTTTGTTATTACTTGGGGAGTATGGAGTATGGTAGACCAGTTTTTCATCATGAAAGAATTGAACCAGGGGCAGGCAGGCAGAGGCCCATCCCTACGTAGACGAGATATCACGCCAGGCTAGCCGGCGCACCTCGCTCTTGCACTGGTAATTTAACTGGATGACGAAAAAAACAACCGAGAGAAAGGCCCTCACTCCACTACTCGCCACACGCACACAAGACAAAAATTATGTCAGTGCATCTTTCCATGTTCTGCTGCAAGATTCGTTCTCGTTTTGCTCATTTGGTGAGTAGCGGAGCGAAGAAGCCCTAACCTACCACAAAAAGCTGCCCTTGTGAGATCCTCCGCGAGCTCAGAAGTACCGTCCCACATTCCACTCTGATCACTCCTGATGACGTCCCACCACTATCGATTCTCTGTAGGGGTGCCATGTTGGATCAAAAAGGGCTTTTTCCGAAAATTGGGGCCTCCTCCGTTAACCGCCCATCCGTCCCGCCTTCCTAGACCGAACCTACCTGCTGCACCCTTAGAAGAACTCAGACCGCGGGTAACCTAGACCTGACGGGGGTCCAGGTTCATAATACATATTCTACAGGCCAGACCTGACATTCCTACTACGGTACCCTATCAAATGGTGCTGTGTCCTTTATACATGTGTTCCAAGCGGCATCCACCGCTTCCTTGGCTTTCTGAGCGCAGTACGGATTCATTTTCACCGACAACTCTGCTCGTCTTCTGACGCAGATCTGCAAGGTTAGGCACAGAGGACAAATAAACAAACGAACAACAAACAAACAAAACAGTGTGTGTTTTTTTTTGTCAAAAAAGGGAAGGAAAAAATAAAATAAAAAAATAAAATAAAATAAAAATCGCTGTGTGCTCTTCCATCACCTCCCCCC